GGGGGGGCGGGGGGCGGAGTTACAGAACATTCCTGACAGGGTCCAGAGCTTAACAGAACCTTCTTGTGAGAGGGCAGGGCTTGACAGAACATTCCTGAAAGGTCACACAGTTCAAACAGCCACACACCACTTTCATACACTGGGCAGGAACCCAGCCACATAAACTTACATTTCCAAAACAAAACATTCTGTGGAGAAAAAAATGGAGGCAAGGCCAGGGCCTGTCTTACTGTTTAGCACTGCTCTATCAGAAGTAGTGGTCCAGCCCTGGCAACTGGAGCTCTTCCTCCTCCACCCTGAAACCCAGAGTCTTCCTCCCCTTGGCTGCACTGCTTCCAAGCAAAATCAAGACCAGGTTGGGTGGAGGCAGGAGAGCACATCTGAAGGCGATTTCTTCCACAGTGTTGCCATTTGCTCTGAACTCGGTAAGGGTTCCATGTTTCAGAACTCACTCCTCTCCGTCAGATTTGAGCTTCATAGACATCCCCACTGTGATGACTTCACAGTTTCAGAGGGAGTTTGAACCCGGGGAGACCATGGGACCAGTAGATACTTCAGATCAGAAGGCAGGGGCAATTTTTATTCTCCAAGAACCACAACGCCCTGGGATACAATGAGCAAAGCTTCAGAGAAAGCACTGCAAGGTTGGCCATGTAGCTCAGTTGTGCTGCACCTGCCTCACAAGCACAAGGTCCTGAGCTCCACCCCAGAGCCACGATGCACACTTTCGGGAATGCATCTGTCAAAGCCTTCTGAGCAGCAAGCTTCTGGGCCACCTTCCTCCGTGGGGCCTGCCGGCGATGTTACCATGCACATGGGCGGTGTGATCCTCCTGCAGGCCCCGGCTCGCACCTGCAGCTGGACAGCGGGCGTCATCATCGCACTTCCTCCCAGGAGGTCGCAGAGCAGCGCCCCGGGCCTGCGCACCTGCTGCACCCCAGGTCGGCGGGTTCAGCTCGCGCACGCGCATGGGCAGGCTCTTCATGGTCCTGTCCGAGCTGTGCTGTGCGGCGTCTGCTCCGCAGTCGCCCAGGGGCTGCGCAGCTCGGCTGGGGAGCCACGCGCCGCCAGCAGGCACTCACTACTGCACTCAGAGGGCACAAAACCGTTCACGCCCGTGTTTGAACCTCTGGAAACCCTCTTAACCAAGGGTCTCCCTCATCCCCTCTGCAGGCATTGCCCACTACCAGGAGCTTCCGTCTCCTCGGAAGGAGGACGAAGACAGCTGCTATAAAGATGTCTGCACTCTCCCTCTTGTGGGGCCACCCTTAGGACCCCACCCTAAAAATGCGCCTGAATAGAAGCCCTGAGCTGGAGGACCCTGGGGCGAGGGGGCTGCAGCACAGGGAGAGACCTGCTGTGGTGGGCGGACCTGCCCCACCTGCCCAGTTCAGGCCCAAGGTTTATTAACTCTTAAGAGTCATAAACAAAGTATAGGAAGACCACTGGGGCTGAAACTAGAAATTTTGGAACTAGGATTATACAGCCAATGATATTTTCCTCTACTTGTCTCCATTACTCTATTCTTTGTTCAGAAGAGCTTCCCCAGCCCCATACCCTTATTCCTTCCTGCTTCTCCATAGTTTTTGCCCACTATGTCACTATTCCACTCCTGGATGTATTTGAACTTACCTCTTAATGGCAACTATCTTCTCTGTTCCTCTTAGTTCTGAGTTGGGAAAATAAGGATTAGTTTGACTCATTCCTCCTTTGGATTAGCTTTCTTTGAGTGACATAATAAGCCTGCTCCTGTCACAGCTTAGGGGGCATGGGTCACAGGAATATACGGAAAGGGAAAGATTAAAATGCCTACTACAGAAATATCACCTTGAACCAAAGAAAGGATTAATACCTAGTTATAGAAGTTTAGCCCAAATGGAAGGAGACTTTGGGGAAGGCCCTTCAAATCTTTTCTTGTAGGTCCCTACCCCCACCCTAGGACCATTCTTTTCTTTGTGATAACCCACACTTTTCTTATCTAATTGCTCATCTTCACTTTGCTTGAATATACCTATATTTATTTTATTTTGTCCTCAAAGCTGTTGTCTTTTCTCTTCCTACTGTAATTTATTCTCAAAATATTGGGAAGTACTTTTTAAGAACTTCCTTCAATAGACTCTCTCTCTCAAAAATTTTTGAACAGAAAATTTAGAATTAGTTTCTAGTGTCATGTCCTATCTTTCAAGGTGCATCTTCCTTTCAGCCTGAAGTGCAGAGTGTGATGACAAATGAGAAACAATCATTTTACACACCCTGGTAAAATAAATATTCTCCAGTGTAACAGCAGGTGATTAGATCTTCATTTGCTATATGCTTTGGTGTCTTCAGAAATGTACTAGTAAGGCTGGTTTCAAAGAGAATGAAAAATTTCAGCCTAGGAATACATTGAGGAGACCACAATCCTGGGTAAAGTAGTGCAGAGATGTACCCACTTGGGCAGATGGTCTTGCATTCGTGAATTCTGTTTAATGTGGACTTGAGTCTTGACCAGAGTTGGAGTGTGGGTGCCTGACTTAATATTCTCTTTGAGTCTGGTCCTGTGTTATAGATGCTGGATCTCTGATTTAATATTTATTTCTATCACTTGTGGTATCATTATTAGCCATGAAGTTTGTTGAAGCATTAATATGCCTTTGCTGTCTCCCAGGTGGAGAAATGGCTTGATTCCTATGAATTATTAATCTTGGAGAAGAAAAGCTTGATTCAAAGAAGAATTTGAGTAAGCTTTGCTACTTTACAGAGTAACTTATATAAGTGGAATGTCAGTTATCATCTGATGTGAATAAGAATTTGCATAAAATGCTTTATCTGGAAAGTTTCTTTCCCTGCCATTTCAGCATGATGTTCCTCACTGGGCTGAGAACATGGGACCTGGAGACAGGATCTTCTGCTTTGGTACCAACTCTGCCATTTACCAATAGCATGACTGGGAGAATTATTTAATTAATCCATGTCTTGATTTCCTAATCTATAAAGTGGGCATGATGATAATAATACACAACTTGGAGGATTGTTATAGGGAATAAATGTATTTTTGTTGTTGTTATTGATGAGAAAATCAGGACTCAGAAATTTAAGTATCTAAGTGCATAGAGCTGGTGAATGTATAGATCTGGATTCAAATTTTAGAGTGTCAGTCTTCTAATCCATTAGTCCATGGCATTCTCCACTAGTGCTGCTTCCCAAATCTGCCTATCATGAGCATCAGCTGGAAATACTTGCTAAAAACACAGATTCCTAGACTCCTGAAGTGGAGAACAGGAATTGGTGCTATCAACAAGGTCCCAGGTGTCAAGAGTCAGCAGCAATGTACCAAAGATTCCCCAGCCCCCAGACTGCCGGAACCTTTCAGCTGCTTGAAAGACTTGTGTGCAGGCTGTTTTGGTCTCCTCTTCTCACTTCTGTGATTCTAGCCTCTCCTTTAACCAGCCTTTTCCTTCCCCACAACTTTCTTTACCTTCTCCACGATGCCTTTGAGCATGCTGGTCACTAAGTCATTTTCTCTCTCAGCTCTCAGTGTGCCCGGTCACTTTGTTCAAAGTTTTTTCTCTGACAATCTAGCCTTGTTTTTGAACTCATTTTTATCTTCCTCCAGTCAACTTTTTGCTTTTCATTCATTTCTTTTTTACCTCTCAATTTTCTTTAAGTTTGGCAGGACCATTGATATGATCATGGATGACAAATTTGTATACAAAACTGTAATGGGAACTATAGTATGATTTTTTCAGAGTATGTCATAATAAATCCAATATTATTTATTAATAAATGTATATAGATTTATCACATATATAATAGTTATTTTCTCATTGATGGGACAAAACACCCAACACCCACAAGTTAAATTAGGAAAGGTTTATTTTAGCTCATAGTTTGTAGAAATTTCAGACCACAGTCAACTGGCTCCAAGGCAGGCCAGCATGGCAGAGGGGCATAGCAGAGGGAAACAGTCCATGGCAGGGTAGATAAGAAACAGCAAGCAATGAGTCTCCTTTCCCCTTTATATTCTATCCAGGCTACAAAGCTATTTGTTGGTGCCACCTACACCCAAGGTGGGGCTTCTGTTTTCAGTAAATCTATTCACCACACCCAGAACCATTCTAAACCAATCAGTAGGCTGATCTAGTATCACACACTCATGATCCAGCCACCTCCCAAAAACCCACCTATGAGCTCATGAGGCTTTGGAGAGACATTTAGTTACAAGCCATAACAACACATAAAATAATGACTACTATGTAATTGACTGAAATTGATTATATTTTAATCTAAAGTGCCTGAGTAAAATAAACTCTGCCAATAGCCAGCTATGCCTAAGTAGTGTTGCCTCAATGGCATGCTGTTCTGGGCCCTGCACCGTCTTCTTTTGGCAATGCTTGGGCTTGGAACTCTGGGTGATAGCTACAGATTCCAGTCAGTGTCCTACAAGGTTAAATGAAGAAACAATGTTCTGGTGAAAAAGTCCTTGATTTCTGCAGTTGTCTAGGTAAAAGTCAAAGGCACTCATTTCTGATGTGACAACACATTGATTCTAGGACTTTGGCCCACATGCTACCACTCAAGGAGCCAAGCCTGAGATGCAAAAATATGTAGTTGTTTGTGCTGCTGTGGTCTGAGTAAATGATAATGAGAAGCACCAAATTGACTGCATATCCAGGAAAAGAGAAATAATTGGGGAAATGAAATTTGTTAACTGATAATTTACACACCAATGTGGATTTTTCACTCACGAGGCACATAATTACTCCAGATTCAGTTGAGGTTTCTCCAGATAATAGAAATTATACATGTTTGTGAATAATCACATTGGGTTTTTTTGATATCATTAAACATTTCTTGTATTTATCATACCTCTAAAGCTATGTGTGAGCAAACTTGTAAAACAAATTGCTTTTTTATGTAAAAAATTTTGGTGTTTTGAGAATATATTAATTCAATATTTTTATGGGCCCTGGATATTTTAAGGAAATAATTAATTTAAATAACTTTGTTAGAATGTTGGTAAGACAGGATTTAAAGATTGAGGCCAAGTCCCATTAACTAAGTGTGGGGCCTTGAGCAACCAGGTCACTTCAGCCATCTAAGTTCCATTTTTTTTCACCTATAAGATAGAATGTCACTTATCTCATTGAGTTATTGAGTGTCCCAGTGTATCCAAGTGTGCCTGGTCAACTGTAAAGCCCAGAAGCAGTAGATTTATGTTGGTGGAAAGGAACAGCCATTTACTTAACATTGGTTAAATCTTGTGACCAGATCTGCACAGGGAGGCAAAGGCAATTGATAGGAACTTGGGAAATTTGCTATAATTAAATTGTGAGGTGAGAGTATCACATGTAAAGAACAAGGGACATCTTGGCCTCTGTCAGTGTGTGGTGACTGATGGGTAGGACAACTAGTTAGGATGTCCAGGCTAGTGCCTCATTTATTTGAGCACTTGCACTCCATGCATCCTGTGTCTACCTCTAATAAATCCTTCTCATGCTTCTTTAAACAAGAAAAAAAGAAGAAGAAAACAACTGCCAGGGAGCCCAGCAAAGAAAGAAGAAAACCGAGGTCTGCCCACACCCTACGGAGGTCCCGAGTTGCGTGGAACATGCCTAATCAGCCCGCTGCAGACAGGCAGGTCTGTGAACGCCCTACCGAGGTCCTGAGTCGTGTGGAAGACACCGAATCACCCTGCTGCAGACAGGCAGCCACCTAGTTCCACACTAGAAAGACGCAGAGGACACCAGACCACCAGACCACAGTACTGAGTCCTGCTGCTCCTGGCCCAGAGGTAGGGGCTTCTGAGCCACCATCCCACTGGTCCTGGTCCAGAGGAAGGGGCTTCTTGGCCACCATCCCTCCTGCTGCTCCCAGCCCACAGGACAGGGCTTTTGGGCCACCATCCCTACCGATGCTCCTGGCCCCTGTCCCACCTCTCCCAGCTCAGAGGAGGTAATCCACGCAGGCGCTAACAGCACCCTGCCCCAGTCGAAATGAGAAAACATGTAAATAAGTCTCAAAACCAGACTTCTAGATCACCTACAGCAACCCCAAAGGGAAATGAGATGGAACACTCTGATACTCA